GGTAACTAAAAGTAATTATAATTAATTAAGTGTTAATAAATATCTTAAAAATAAAAAATGGATTAAACATCAAATAAAAACTAAAGTTAAGTAGAAATACCTTGCGAATGCAAGTATGATGTTGAATCATCTTATTTAAATATAGAAAGTAGCAGAGAAGATGACTTGTTCTATTGCTATAATTGTGCTCTTATGGATAACAACATGCCAAAATATTTATTAATAAATATTTTATAAAATGAAAAGAAACAATTTCTTTTGAATTGGCCTCATCTAGATGATAAAGAGTTAGTCTAACAAATAAGAGAATTTTCTTTTTAATAAAATTCTAAATAGTAAGTAATGCTATAAATTGAAAACTTTTTTAAAGATTTTATAACAGAATTTACTGAGGTTTTAGGCTAAAAACAAAAAATAATCCTAAATAACTAAAATTTGATTAATGAAGACATTTAGAAATTGCTTGACTTTTACAAAGAAACAGCTTAATTAGAAGATATAAACAAAATTATATAAAACTAAAGCTCCTCTAAGCAACAAAAAGCTAATTAAATCTTATAAATAATTAATAACAAAAAAAATGACTCAAAAGATAATACTAATAAAATAAGATTAATGATTGATAAAATTAATTAGCAACCAAAAGTTAATTTAGAAACCTTAAATTAATATAAACAATCTATTATATCTCAGATTTAATTAATTGATAATAAGCATTTCGCAGATTTGAAAGCTATCTCTGAAAAAAATTTCTTGAATGCTTAATCTATCCAAAAAATAAAAAGCGAAAATAATACTGAATTAATAAAAAATGGTAATTTAGACATAATCTTGTAATTGATCTCAAACAAAACAAATTTTTGTACCTAAAAATACACAGATTCTCTTTAATTTGAACTGTTAAAGCTTTAAGAAGTAATTAATGCACTTAATATTGAAAAAGATGTCTACGTAAATGGGAAAAAGTAGATTAACTTCAATAATTTTAATGCTAACTAAATTGAAGATATTGAAATACTTTGCTTAAAAATTGAAGAGTTAAATTCCTAGTTAAAATAATAATAAGAATAGGGATAAAAAGGTGAAAATTCTGATCTTTTCAAATAACTACAGCCCTCATCAGATTTGATTGCAAATAATATTGACAAAGTATATGATTGCATTGATAAATAAAAAAAAGAAAAGATAAAATAGCTACTGAGAAAGTATCCAATATTTGAGATTGAGTAAATCATTAAAGTAATACCTTATAAATTTAAAATTGATATTAGTAATTGGTAGGATTTTAATTTGAGTGGTAGATTAACCTAAGATAATAATGGAAATTAAAAGTTAGAAACAGTTTAGCAAAAGCATTTTATTTCATATATTGAGATTAAATAAAATAGCTTATATAAAATGGTAATTGAGTTGAAGTTACTAAATAAGCATTTATTTATCGGATTAGTAGGTAAATCTCACAAAGACAGTTAATACATTCACGAATCCAGTTAAATAAATAGTTTTATAGTTGGTAGCAATTATGGTGATAGGGGAGTAAGCAAAGTAGTTAAAGGAAAGTGTTTAAGAGATGTGAATTATCCAAATGAATACAATCAAATAGAAATTACTTTTTGTGTAAAAAATAAACTATTCTAAGTGAGTGATTATCCATTAAGATAAAATATAAATGGAATTAATGATCACAGATTGAATTTAATCAACTTAAACGAATAATATTATCTTGGATTTGAATTATATAGCGAAGGAGATTCTTTGACTATTTTGAAATTTGATGAAATATAAATATAAGATTGATTGATATTTATTAATATTCGCTTGTAAAGCATTACATTTTTTAAATAAAGTTTCATTTTATTTCCTTAAATATTTATCAGAAAAACAAAAAAAGTTTAGCATAATTTAATATATTTTAGAGAAAAAAATTTTTTTCCATTTATATTTTTTTTTTGCTAATTTTTCTAATTTTGTTATTTTTAAAAACTCATTTAAAGTTAAAAATTTTGTATTTAAAGATTAATTAGGTACTATTTTCTCATCTAAATTTTTGAATAGGTTCAAATCCTTATTTTTTTTGCAATTCCAGGTTGATACTGAAGTATGATATTTTTTTTAAAAATAAATATTATTCTTTGTTTGTTTCTGCTTATTTTTAGGAAATAAAATGTTAAGAAAATATAAATATTTTATTCATTCTTATTCTCTTCATATGTATATAGAGTATTTTTCAAAATGTTGGAAACACAGCAAATTATTTTTAAATTTTTAAGGTGTTATATTTAAAATTTTAATAGTTTTTATTTTTTTTAATTTTACCAATTCACAAATGTCAAATATTAATAAATATGAAAATAAATCTAATTATAAAAATA